AAATCTCAATAAGAAAAGGGGTCCTCAAGGAATCCTTCACCCCAAGCTCACTTACAGGTATAATATAAGTTCGAAAACAGTGCAGGCAGTATGTAAAGAAAACCAAGCTCACTTTCATGTCTTCCTAACAATTGTAGCTCTATGAATCATCTGAAAAATGGGATAAGAACGGGATTAATCGGATACCTAAAACAAAAGTTGTGTTCAGAATACTGCAATAGTGTAAGTCTGGATTTTTAGCTTAAAAACGAATTAAACTCAATTAAAAGCCCAACATCTAATTTAACCTAAAAGATCAATATTTACACACTAAATAATCCAAAAATCATTAATCAAGAGTAACAAATAAGTGTAATAAATATTAATTATCTTCAATTAACAAAATATCATAAGATCAGATTTCATGTAAAGAAGGTTCAAGATACATTTCCATAGCTTCTTAAACTAAAATATTTGTTAATTAAATTACAAGGAAAATGGTCGACAGGTAAAATTGATTAAAGGGTACGTATCATTTTCATTCAAGATTCCACAAAAAAAATTAGTAATGCATATTATCAGATAATGCAGCAAACAAAATCAACATAAAAGGAACTATGTTCTTCATTCACCAAAATTTAGAAAACAGTAAAGGAGGTTAGGGATACAGACCAAGCATATTCAAATTACAAAATCAGAATTCAGAAATTTGCTCAAACATTACAACGAAGCTCGGACCAAATTGCTCTTTGGTTCCTCCTTAAACTCTCGTCAGTGCAAGGGTTGAATTACGATTACAGAAATTAGAAACTGGATAAGTGCTCTAGCTACTAAGGAAACTAGCTAGTAAACTGCATACTGAAATCTTGAACTCTAACTCTGACTTCAATTCAGACTTCGAATTCAAATCTAGCTATTTCAAGTCCTTGCTGTCCATCAGATCAAAACAGCATCCACCGGTCATCATTTTGCCACCACTGCTCCTTCATCACTAGTGTGCTATCCTGTGATTAAATGGTAGAAGAAAATATCAGAAAATTTACAAATCTGCGATTATTAACCCAATTACGTTATTGGGCTTATTCTTTGCAATTTGGGCCATTTTCACCTTGACTTTCAATTATATTTAGCCCAATCATAATAGAAAATAAATTACTAAGTTAGGTAAAAGTCACAACTAACACTGACATAGGTGACATTAACCCTATTCATATGGTTGTATTTTACATAATAGTATATAAATATACGTATATGTAGCATTTTTTGAAGGCTAATTATATTGTATTTTATTTTATGTATTCATAAATCTTACGTTGATAATCTTATTCATTCAGGGGAGACAATGCAAGTTTATTACTTCGTACATTTATTTGATAAAATCTATTAGGTGGGACTTAAATCTAAAAATATCAAGTCAAACATGGCTTTATATTAACTCAGCGCACAAAAGCTGTTTGGCTTCGTCTTCTGAGTAATCTTTTTATGTACAGTTTCAGTTTCCACAACTTTATTTTTGGGCTATGCGATGCGAGTATCATGTTGCTGCTGTAGGATTTTTTTTTTTTTGTCCAGCTGACTCATGAAAGTAGCGCTTCCGACAACTTCAGTTTTTTAAAATATTTAAACTATTTCGAGCATGACATATTTAGGACTTGGGAGAGTCTGATGATTAAATGATATTATTTTGTAGCTTTTCAGCCCTTTTATGTTGCAAAGAAGAATTTATCCTTTAATTTTGGTAGAATCTAACTTATCCAATTTTCAATAATGTTAACAATTTTGTGGAATAATTACCAAAAAACATTTTTGAGAAATATAAAAGTTGCTAATTTAAAAAAAATTAAAATGACCGTGAGCGTAAAAATGATTATGACATGTGGTTTAGTGTAATTTAAAAAGAAGGATAATGCGAGGTTCATTCTAAAGTCCAATCCTTGGTACCTAAGGGTGTAAAATGGGATAGGGGCCTATGGCCTCGCTTATATTAGGCCAGACTTGATCTATAACAAATAGTAAAATAGAATAGGCCTAGACTTTTAAAAAAATCTATTAAGAAAATAGGCCATAGACTTTTTTGTACATGTCCGGCTTATAAGCCTATAGGCCGGCCTATATCATATTATTTATTTTAAATAAAATAATTATTTTAATAATTTGAATAATAAAGTAATATTATTTTAATTTTCTTTTAATTGTTGAATGTTTAATAGGCTTAAACAGGCTAACAGGCCAAGGCCAAGGCTTTTATTTTTTAAATATAGATCAGATCTTGTTATCAAAAAAAAAAAAATATAGGTCAGATCAGACCTTTAATTTGGGGCTTACACAGGCTAACAAGTCAGACCATACCCAGTGTTTTTTACACAGGCCTAACCTATTTAAGCTAAAACCTAGCTTAGCCTAGCCTATTTACACTCCTATAATGGTACTACCATTTTAATAAAAAGATATTGTGATTGTGATATGTCTTCAGCATATAGAGAATTCTAGGGTAAAAAGAGCAAGAAATTGATGTTAATTTAGTGATAAATAGTGGTAATTGATAGAATTCTTGATGATCCATTCTTAGACACCCTCTCACTGAATTTCTCAATTTTGTAGAATAAAATGCATACAAAAAGGCTACTGTCAACAACCATCAACTCGCGCGAATCGCGCCAACTTCACTGCCTCCTCGCGCAGATTGCACCACATTGGTGCGGATCACGCCAAGAAGTAGAAGAAATATTGGGGTTTTAATTCTGACAAGGGTTTAAATTGTTTTTTAGTTTTTAAATTGTTTTTATAATTAATTTAATTTATTTAGTTTTATTCTACCTGTGTTAATTCTTTCACATCCTTCCTAGAATTGATCGTTCTATTATAGGATTTTGAGGGTTAGAGCTCACAATAAGAATATTGAGGTTTTAATTCTGACAAGGGTAGAATAACAATCTATTCATGATCTAGACATAGGCTTACATAGATTCCATATTTTTAAATTCATCTGATTAATGCTTGATTCAAGAAGAATTACAAGGACACTAGGATTCTAATTGGGTTAAAAGGTTGAATAAACTAAGATATTATGGTTCAACTATTTAATAGGAAATAATTAATTGTATGGGCTAATAGATTAATTTGTTATAATTCAGTTTAGAATTATAAGAGAGGATCGGAGGTGAAGTGCATCCTGATTGCAGTTTCCTTTACAATTTTAGTTACTCATGTTTTCTTTGACGTTCTTGATATTTTCTTGAATGCTTTTGAATATTACTGTCTTTAAATTTCTGTTAACAAATACTTTTTCAATTAAACTGGATTTTTCAAATTAAGGAGAATAGTTAAATTAATAATTGGTGCATTAATCCTCGAGGAAGCGATCTTTACTTATTAGTCACTTTATTACTTGGAACGAACGGTATATTTATCGATTTCGCAGAACAGATTGGTATACCCAATTGGGTAATTGACTATGATTGAATTACTCTGGATATATTATTCGACTTATGTCCATTAAATATTGGACCCAATAACTAATGGAGAAATTCTAGATGTTGGAGGGACTCTTAAATCTGTGCATGGTGACTTGAACTGAATTTTTTTCCCCCTAAACGGAACTGAACTAGTTTAAACAGGTTTGATTTAAGGAAAAAATTGTTTTAGATTTGGTTTTATTTATTTTGAACTGATTCGGAACAGGTTCGAAAATAATTCGGAACTAATTCATGTTTCAACAGTAGTTTATGATTTATAACTGATTTCTAATCGGTTCGGGTTTGCAAACCAATTTCGAAATGATTTCGAATCGGGTAAAATGTGTGTCATTTTGAAGGATATAAAATAGTGTCATTTTAAGAGAGAGAAAGAGATAGATAAAGAAGGAGAGAGAGTTAACAAAAAAAAGATAAAGGTGTATGTCTTATGTGAAAGTGAAATGATATAAGTTGTATCGTTCAAAAGGATAAATACTTTTGTCTTTCCAATCAGTTTTGAACAGGTATGAATTTTATCTTACACGTTATGCTTATGGTTGATATTGACTTGAGCCGTCTAATGCCTTGCACATACCCCACCTCCTTATTTCGCCTGAGCACATATAGAAGCACCTTGCCATCACCACCATTGGATCTACTCTATGTTAGTTCAAGCACAACCACACATTGTGTCCAAGTATATACATCTAAGCATGAATCACTGCAAAAAATTTATAATAATATGAATTTAAACTAAACTTCTATTATTTTGTGATTAGAAGTCTCTAAAACATTCGAGTTGATATAATTTGATTCATTGTGACAAATTATTCATGGGAAAATAAAATTGTTGATACCAACAAACACAATGGGACATACCGCATACGGTTCAAGAAAAGGATTCGTAGATGAGAAGAAGAGAATCTAATGAAAGCAGATTCAAAGGACTTCCGCTTCCACTACCACAACATAAGGCCATCCGGTCAACAAATAACACAAATCGCAACCCATAATAATACGTAAGCGATCCACGTGTCACTCCCTCAGTCTCCCTTTTCAACCGCTAAACAATGTTCACCGCAAAACTTGCATTTTCCAATCATATTCATATCATATATACATTAATTACTGCTTCTCTCTCCATAAGGGTCTTCCTTTTTCAGCTGCTAATGATAACCCTTTGATTCATAATGCTACAAAGTTCTAAACTTCCCATGCACCAACATCAAAATGTGTTTGTTTCTTTGCAAGCTCCAAGCTAAGAGAAAGCCTACACTTTGTTTTTTATTCTCTTTACTGGTTAATGCCGATGGTGTTTTCCGCTGTTTTTATGACCTGTCTTTCTCCAATGTTCTTGGGTTGGCCTCAATTTTGGTTCATGTTGGATCAAATGCATGCCATTACCATGTTTGGACTTATGTTTTATGCTGTGTGATCAACTAAGGTTTAAAAAAATAAAAATAAAAATGGGTTGTGGTTGTTGTTTGAAAAAGGTTTTCATAAAGGACAAATTTTGAGCTATTTTTTGGTGTTGGATAATTGAGAAATTTGTGTTATGTGACAAAGATGGTGGCAGAGACTGATTTCAAGTCTCAGGTAGCTACATTGGAAGGTGGTGGAGGTAGTGGTGGGTGCCTCAAGGGCAATGTTATGTCTGCCACAGAGGATCAAAATGATGATACAGTTGGGGAATTGAATCAATCTATTGGAAAACCTCCAAGGGACCATTCAATTGTTCGTCATTGTAGCAGCACTTTGCGGTTGATTGAACAGGTTAGTATAATGAAATCTCGTGTTGCTTTTGTCTTTCTTCACTCTTCTTGTGAGTCAAATTCACCATCCAAATCATTTGGATTTTGTTGAAAATGTCTTCAAGACTTTCAACAGATGAGAGACATGAGTTGTTGTTTTACTTTGTTGACGGATTTTGCAGCCTGTAGATCTGTTTATTCGCTGGGATTAATGATTCAACTTTCGTGATGATGTGTTAGGATTATGTGGATTGTGGCTGTGCAATTGCAATCTTAATGAAGCTAATTTTTTTAATGCCCCACCTTCACTTTTTTTCCTTAAAATTTTCTACCCGGAAGTATCATATTGCAGCATGTTAGGATGATATTGAGTAACCATGTGAAAATAAAATATGAAAAGTACACATATTTTGGCCAAGAGGAGTTTAACAACAGAGATATATTATTTGTGTTGATGCAGCACTCAACTGTTTGCTCTTTTTTGTACCCACTTCCCTTCTTTCATCAAATAACAATATCAATCTAAACCGTTGACTATTAAAGGCCCGTTTGGATGGGCTTTTTTTTCTCCAAAAGTTACTTTTTTTTCTTGAAAAAAAGCACTTCTCAGTTTTAGTTTATTTGGATGTCTGCTTTCAAATAAACAGAAGTCACAAAAAAAATCAAAAACTTACTTTTCTCAGAAGCTAAAAATTTTAACTTCTAAAAAAAGCAGAAGTCAAAAGCTAAATATTTTTTTCAAAAACTAAATATTTTTATAAAAATATAAATAGCTTTAACTTTTGTAAAAAGGACTTCTAAAATAAGAAAGTCTCAAAAGTTACTTTTTTTCAAAAGGAGAAACAAACGAGCTCTAAGTATTCTATGGTTTTTTCTTCTATGTCCTAACTGAAATTTAACTATCATAATTGAGTTCAACCCATAAATAAGACCTTATTAAACTTATGTGTCACACGCATGACTTCTAAGATTTGTATCCATTTATGCAAAGATTTATGTAAGATTAGCTGTTAGCACATTATGTTTCCTTAGTTAGTGATAATTTGATATTACTCTGGGGCTTACTAATTGTTCTTTTACCAATGGCGCTGAGATCCTACTGAGGCTGCATCTAATTATAAAATATCGATAAAGTTTCACTGATTTGTACAGACGATTATCTTGAATAATTGACAACAAAAGTTGCGGCCTTGTAATAATTTTCCCTTGGAGGATTAAACTTCTAAGCTACTTACTTGTGTTTGTCCGTTCATATCCTTCTTTTGACCTGTTTGTTTGTAGTGAATAAGTCTGTGAAAGCATGAAATAGACAAGCATTTTGGGTGCATAGAAACACTAGGGTCTCATTCGTTCAAGTTATAGTTGTACATTTTTAACCCTTATATACATTTGTATAGTCTTACTAATAATTATGTCCTGTTTTCTTAGGAATCAGATATTGGGATTATAGGCTTGAAATCAACCACAGAAGAAAAATTAAAGATTTCACCAATATTGCGGTCTGGAAGCTGTTCTGAGAAAGGACCAAAGCAGTACATGGAGGATGAGTTCATCTGTGCTGATATACTCCGCGAATTTGTAGGTCCAGGAACTAACCTCCCTTCTCCAGCAGCATTTTATGGGGTACGTATCTTCCTTTTGGCTTTTGAGTCAAATCAGTTTTATTATTTACCTTATTTCTATGTCAAATCTATATATACAAAGTAATCTCCAAGATAAGTACGTGAGAAATGATTTTATGTTAGACGATCTCAATCATTCATATATATAAATTAACAGTTATGAAGTGCATTAGAATAGAGAGTGATTAAAATATAACCATTGGTTTATTTATGGACAGTTGAGATAGTTTCACATCATTATCTCCTTTCACATAAGAGTTCCATTCCATTTTTTAGTTATATATGTGGGACTCATCACACTTGAATATCCTAATAATCTCCTCCTTAAGTGTGAAACTCATCATTGATATGCTTTCCCTGAACCCGCCGGACAATATATCACTGATTAATCAAATGGCTCCAAACCATTTTGTATTTGTTTATATTCTAACCCGATAATCAGATGCATGCCTTTTAGATACTGATTAAGGTTATGTATTATTAATGTCTACAGGTATTTGATGGACATGGTGGTACTGATGCAGCATCATTTATCAAAAATAACATTCTTAAGTTTATAATTGAAGACTCTCATTTCCCTTCTATCATTAAGAAAGCTGTTAGGAGTGCGTTTGTTAAAGCTGATCATGCATTTGCAGATGCTAGTGCTGATCTTGATAGTTCTTCAGGCACCACTGCTCTGATAGCCCTTGTATTGGGAAGGTGAGGACCAAGAATTATTGATTCTTAGCTACACAATATTTCTATTTGTGTATGGTTTTTCTTGCATGCATGTAAAGCCATGGTTTTAGATTTTGTAAAGTATCTATACTTCATCTGTAACAAACATTCTTGATGTTAATTGAATTTTGCAGGGACATGTTGATTGCTAATGTAGGTGATTCGCGGGCTGTATTGGGGAAAAGGGGTAGAGCCATTGAACTTTCTAAAGACCATAAACCTACTTGCACTTCTGAAAGATTGAGAATTGAGAAATTGGGTGGTGTCATCTATGATGGATACCTTAATGGCCAACTATCAGTGGCACGTGCTCTTGGAGATTGGCATATTAAAGGTTCTAAGGGTTCTAAAAGTCCCTTAAGCTCAGACCCGGAGATGGAGGAGACTGTTTTGACAGAAGAAGATGAGTTTTTGATATTGGGGTGTGATGGATTATGGGATGTGATGAGCAGCCAGTGTGCTATTACAATGGTGAGGAAGGGGCTCATGGAGCATAATGATCCTGAAAAATGTGCAAGGGCACTTGTGACAGAAGCACTCCAAAGAAACACATGTGATAATCTTACAGTTGTGGTGATTTGTTTCTCCAAAGATCCACCTCCTAAAATTGAAATTTCTCGATCACATAGGAGGAGGAGTATTTCAGCTGAAGGCCTGGATCTTCTCAAGGGTATTATGAATGGTAAATGAACAAAATTTCAATGATTAGTGCATAATGAATTGGGAGTTCATACAATTAATGGGTAGGGACTTTTCTAACTAACTGCTGTTCCAATTGCCTTTGTAAGATTGTTGTTTGCTTAAGTGCCAATCATAATGTGACACAACTTGTAACAACTTGAATTTGGAAGCATCAATCAGATTTTAGAGCCTTCTGCACTTGTACTGTATGGTTATTGATATATCCTCTCATATCTGATTTTAACGTGACAATTGTGATGCCTCTCTGTCTTTTTGTTTGATTTCCCCCCTTCTAAACGTCTGGTAGTAGAGGGAAACTAAGAAACGTCACTGGAACATATAAGGAGAAAAGTAAACAAAGAACGGAATAGGACAAGTCTAGGATGTAATAGGTTAACTTATACAACAACTCGATAGTTGGACTGAATATTAATAGGAAGAGAAAATTACAATCCACTAGGCCACTACCCTAAGTTTGTTAAAAAAATAATTGTAAAATTCAATTAAAAAAATTATGCTCTATTTTATTTTATTATTTCAATTTTTGACTCATTACTTATTTAATATCATTAAGTATTTGACAAATCACTATTTTTTAATTATTAAGTACTTATATATATGACAATAAATATATTTTATTGTTATGAAATAAAGAGAGAAAATATAGAAAAAGAGATGAAAACAATTGAAATATGGATTCTAAAACTCTAGTTCTTCAAGAACTAGCTATAATCTTTTTTTTTTGGATTACAATGAGAATCGAACACTACACACTCTACGCTACACACACCTAACACACACTCCCCACATTATAATAACCGCACCTGTAAATTGATTTTAATTATCGAATTAACCATGGAATCAAGGGGAACCCCAGTCACCTTACCTATTTGTGCTGGCAATGGAGAAACTGAGTCATATCACCAATACAACAGTGGTTGGGAAACTATGGCATCCCATTAAGGTAGGTAAAGGTGGGCCCCCAATCTCCCATCTAATGTTTCCTGACGATCTAATGCTGTTTGCGGAGGTGTAACATCCCCGTCTCGAGCCAGTTCAATTAACATACATATGATACAAACAGAAACAGCGGAATACTTAACTTACGAAAATACGAGCTAACTTTTTTTTCCTTTTTCATTAATCTTAATTCACATGATATCTCACATTGCATACTTCTCCTAATTTAATTCGTATTTGACGAAGACGAAAATCGGGCAGAGTAACCTCTGTAAATTGGACAACTGGGGATTTGCCAATCCCACTCTAAAGGTTCCTGATAAACAATTTATACCATATATGATTTCAGAAATACCAGATATCTATATAGGACTATATACCCATCCATGGGTGCATGCATAACTGGCTCTGTGCCACTATGTCTAACAGCATACATATTTTAGCACGTGCACATATCTGAATACACAAATGTACATGCATCAAATATGAACACATGTACAAAACATATACGGACCATATATTGTATAATGGATCAAACATCATGATCACAAAATGAATAGAACACTATACAACAATACATATTCTCCAAAAATACATCTAAAATAAATAGTAGCTATAATAGCCCATATTAATTAATTAGGAAATCAAGTGTAATTAATTAATTAAACATGTTTTACTGGGTGAAATTAAGTATGAGGCTTAATAAAATGAATCTGAGTCACTTTGGAGTTAAAAGTGTACTCAGTGAAAATTAAGGGGTATAAATGGGTACTGTCAAAAGTACCCAAAATATAAAAATAAAAATAGTAATATTCCTAGATTAATATTCCAGACTTTTGGGTAAAGTTTGGTAATTATTGGAGTTGAATAGATAGACGAACCAATACCCGCTTAAAGTCACTTAACCTATGTTAAGTGACTAAAAGCCAAATGAGCCCCATTTCCCTCCCCCATTTCGTCGAGAAACAGAAAAGAAGGAGAAGAGAAGAGAGGGAGAAGAGAGGGAAGAAGAAAAGGGAAAGAGAGAGAGAGATCAAACCTTGATGGTTTTGGATGATTCAAAAGCCTAAATCGCTTAGAATCTCGCCCTCTTTCATAATCCAAGCTTAGTTTTAAGTGGGGAGCTTTGTGTGGTGGGATATTGGCTCTCAAAAATTCGGCCCTTTGGAGAAATTTGGGGTTTTGAGAGTTTCTACCTCCATTGAAGCTTGAGGAGCCATCAATCCTTGGTTGTGTGACCATTGGTGGTAAGATTCTAACCCTTGAACCTCATGATTCCTTGAAATTTGCATGAGTTAGGGTTTGTGAATAGTAAATTGGGATTTTTATGAAATATAGTTGAATTAGCTATGTCCTAGGAAGAATGGAACTTAGAGCATGTTATGGAAAATGCTAGGAATGTCATTTAATCGGTGGAAATGAGCCTAAATAGTCATTTGATAATTGTTCATAATATTGGAAAATTCATGCTTGGATTGGTTAGTATTCTAGCATGTTGAACAATTAATGAGATGAATGATTGATTGTGTCCTTGTGATGTCTAGGATTGAGACATTTGGACCAACCGTGAGTGATCAACCATTGGAGCAAGCTATGGAGCTTGATTAGCTCCATTGGATAGGTGAGTTCATGCTTATGTTTGGTATGAATTGCATAGCTTGGTTGATAGCTATGAGATGTTATTGGATGCAATATGTGTTGATTGCATTACACCATGTGTAGGTGTATGTTTGTAAAAGTTGATTGCTGAAACTGTTGGTGAAGAACAAAGGTTGACTGAAGCATTGAGGTAAGCCTTCGGACCTTGGGTGTAATTCCCTTGACTGTTCTACCAAGCCCTGAAAGGGTAGAGGTTGTGATTGTGTATATAAATGCAATAAAATAGTGTAATGCTTTGTTATACGTATGTGTATGCATTTGGTGTGGCATAGGATGGTGTTTCCCTATGTGGGTATGTTGCATGACGATGCGTAAATCATACATGGTAGTTAGCTGGCCAGTAGGACTATTTGCATCTGAGTTTCCTTAGGACAGCTTGAGAGCTCGAGGGATTTCTCCTGGAGATGTATTGCACTTTGCATAGATATGTATTTACCGCATTATTATTGTTATTGCTATTACACTGATATGGAACTGTGGGGTGGAGAGATGCTCCAAGGACCCCTGGTTTACTGGATATATTCGTATATCTCACCCCGTGTTGTGGGGACCCCCTTTCAGGTAAGGATGCTGCAGGAGCCTCTGGTGGCAAGTGGCCATATCTGGATTATGCATGAGATGTGGCATTCCTTTTGAGTTTATGCATGCCTTTTGTAGTTGACATGTATAGGAGTTTATTTTGAAAGCCCTTGGTCATTTGTATGCCTTGATTCATTGAATGAACTTAGCCTATGCTCATGCCTTTGGTTACACCTTTTGTTGATGGGAGCCAAGGGAATGATCATAGTGTTTTGTAAGCTAAGTTCTATGATTTGTAAAGGATATGTAATGTAAATGATGCCTACTTGGAATTCAATATATGCATGCTTGTTATGTATTGAGTTGTTGAATTGGTCGGGCTGAAAATCAATTAGGTACCCTCTTCGTTAAACTGGTAAACGATGAGAAAACAAAGGTCATGCTGTCCAAATTCTAGCTAAATCTCATGAGGAGAGGTTGGATGAGTGCTAGGATTTAGTTTTGGGGCATGGACATTTGGGGTTTGTAATGGGGATGCATTTTCCCCTAGGCTTGGACTTGAGAAATGTGGGAATTGGAATTCCCTGGCAGCGCGCTTAAGCGCCCAGGAGCGCGCCCAAGCGCCCTGCTGCCCCTGCGAGTGCCAATGCATTCTGCCTCCTCGCGCTGGAGCGCCCAAGTGGGGGCTGAAGCGCCCAGGATTGCGCGCTGGAGCGCCCTGGCCCGCGCTTAAGCGCCCTTAGCCACTGTAGGAGGAAATGCTTCTGTCTCTGCGCGCTAAAACGTCCCAGCGGGAGCTTGAGCGCCCAGGCTAGCGCGCCTGAGCGCCCTGTTGCGCGCTTAAGCGCCCATCCACACTGGAAATGCTGATGCTTACTGCCTCCGTGCGCTTAAGCGTCCAGATGGAGGCTTTAGCGCCCGATAGCGCGCGCTTGAGCGCCCGGTAGCGCGCTGAAGCGCGCTGGGCCTGTGACCAACATTCTCTTGTGTTGCTTCAAATGGTCCTAACTTGGGCTACAGTGCTCCGATTTGAGCACGGTTTGAAGCCACAGGTAGCTAATGAAGAAACCTACAATATAGTAGAAGTATTGAACTAAACAAGAAGTAAATTAATGGTTTAAAAATGGGAAATGAACATGATGTTAAGCTTAATTTATCTGTTTCCGCAAGGTAATATGGTTATGATCACGAAATTGGGCATTATAAGTTCGGTACGTTTTAAAATGAAAAATTTATCCGGATTTTAATTGAACCCATGTGATTGTAACTGCGCTTAATATCATAATGCGATGTTAACAAACCGGTTCTAGAACGGGGTGTTACATTTTATGGTATCAGAGCAGTTTCGTCGGAAATTGTTAAGTATGCTTAGTGTTTGATGCTTTATAGTTGTTTTAGTACTCTTGATGATTATTGCATTTGTGATCACTAAGTGTGGGCCTGATCAACTCACTTCTTTGTGTAACATGTGTAGTGACATGACGAGGAACCGAAACAACCCCGGACCATCAAACACCAATGCTCAGCCAGAACCTGTTTTGGCTGCTCTTGTGAGGCCTAGAAGTGGCCGTGGGGCAACGGGCGTACCGCCTGATCCCGTGGCTGAAGCTCTTGCAGCCGTTCAGAGAGAGTTGGCTGCTAGCAGGCAAGCCAATGAAAATTTGTTAAAGACAAATGAAGACTCGCGGACTGCTATGGCCGCGATGATGACCGAGTTGAGGACGTTGAGGGGTCCTAGGCCCGTGAACCGGCAACCTACTCCTCCTCCTCACACTGCTACGCCTTCTCCACCTCCGTCACAGGAAGAGGGTGGAGTGGGTAACAATGAGGGTGAAGGTAGTCACCACTCCGGAAGTCGGAGTCATCACACT